TTCAGTCCAGACTGCTGAAATGCCCTCGCTAAGTTGTGGAATAGCTGATTGTGGAAACAGACACACAATCAGGATTTTTTTAAACCTAAATTGCTTATTTTTAAGTCAAATCACATTTTATGATGAAACTGAATTTTAAAAGCCTTTAATGGAAAGGTAAATTAAGAAGAAAATTACGAAAAAACTTTGTTTTGGGTCAAATGTCACTTTTGATCTGATACAAGACTCATTTTTTTTATTCTTCTCAGTGGAAAAAAAAAAAAAAACTCCATTATGATTTCATCAAGCTAATCCTGTTTTTCTACATTTATCAAGGACCCTTGAATGGCAGTGGTGTGCCCAGAGGGGAGCCCGGGACATCTCCGTGGCCCACCAGCAGCCCCCAGGCTCGGGGCTCCCTTCCTTCAGCCCCTCTGGGCCCTTCAGCTGGGGCAAGGAGGAGCAGCAAAGCTTTGTGGCTTGGGCTCTGCCAGCTTCGAGGCTCCTTCCCCTCTCTTCCCTCCTCGTCTGAGGCTCGTTCACCACTGCCATTAGCAGGGCTGGGCTTCCTCAGCCTGTCATGCTGATGTGAGGACATGAGGCTGTGGCTCCCTTGTTTAATTACAGCTGAAGTGCTGTACCCACGTACTCCACAGCCTCTAACTCTGGATGTTTCCGTATGAATGATGATCGGTAGCTCAGCACAGAGCCAACCAGTGCTGGCAAGGCTCTTGCACACACAGAGGCTGTGAGCAGGGCTGTGGGTGACTCTCTGAAAACCCACAGCTCAGCAGGGTCCCCAGGCTGCGAGTTGGGGTGAGAGAAGGTCTCGGTGGGCAGAAATTTCCTCCCGACCACCAGGAGATTTCCTGAAGGTGGAGAGGTAAATAGAAAGGAGCAGCAATCGAGGGAAACACAGGATTCACAAAGCAAATCCCTTGTTTCCCCTTAAATACAAGGGTGGCAGCAGCTGGGGGAGCTGTGCTGCTCTCTGCAGCGAGATGCTCCTGCCCTGCAGTTTGGCTCGCTTCCACCTCCAGCTTCCCTGCACTCCCACGTGCCAACATCATTATTTTTTTGCTCCCAGCTCTGAGGCGTTCAGGTCCACCCAAGAGGTGGCTGCACTTCATTTGGCAGCAAATTGCGTATGGAGCCCGTGTCAATGCATGTGCTTCGGTGAGCCTTCAGAGGGAAGGGCACAAAGCACCACGACGACAACGTGCGTCCTCCCTGAGCCTGCCCCTGGCAGCCGGGAGGCTCCCCAAGCCCTGCTCGTGTCGTTTCAGCTCAAGCTGCTGCAAAAACCCTTCAGCAGCAAAGATCTCCCCAGGAGCTGTGTGGGACCCACAGGGCTGGGAGGACACCGCCTGCAGGGACCCTGCTCGCCCCGCGGCGCTGTCTCGCGCTGCCTTCTCGTCCCCGCAGCCCCGCTCTCTGGGAACGGAGCCTCTCCAAGCACTGGGAGTGGTTTCCATGGAAATAAAGAAGAGTTTCGCAGCCCAACTCCACCAAAACACCGACTGGCTCCCTGTGCTTCGCAGGCCACTTATTAATTGATAACAGCAGCGACACCAGCAGAGGCTGAGAGATGCCGTGGCAAGGCTAACTCAGGGTTGGACAGGAATTATCTGCTGGAGCCATCACTGGTGCCCAGGAGGAGCCCAGGACTTTTCAGTGCCCGTTTCCCTTGCTGTGCCTGCTCCCTCCTCTCACGTCCCCATCACACTGGGATGCACGGGGGCCTGATCCTGCCCCCAGCCCACGCCAGCCGTCCCTGCAAGGGCTGTCCCGCTCCCAGCCAGCTTTCAGCCCAGCCAGAACCGCACCAGCTGGTTAAATCACATCTCCTCTGCAAGGCAGGGATACAAGCGTTGCTGTTCAATAAACAACTCATTTCTGAAAGTAGGGGGGAGCAACAGAGCAGAGGAAAACACCCAAACGAGGAAGATGATGGAAATTATTCACTGACAATAAGCACACATACGAGCATCCTGGGTACACCCTTAACACTTTGCACAGCATCAGCTGCTGCCCTTCACAGCCAAACCCCACCAGCTCATCCTGCACCGTGCTCCACCCCTCCCTTACAGCACAGAACGAGCACCACGGTAAAACACCAACAAAACACCTTCAATTGGCAGAGGACAGACAGCACCAGCAATATGCACCTACTGATCAACAGCTTCGACAGATGCTCGGCTGCAGAAAGTCTGCATGGCACCTGCGTGACATTTAAAGGCAGAAGGCACTGTGAGGGATGCAGGCACAGCAGAGACCACAGGTTGCATGGAAATTCATTTCCTTATTTAACAACTAGCTGCTGTGGTGGTCTGTTTTTTTTTCCTAAAAAGTGCTGCTGGTCAGATATATGGACCCAGATCCTCCCCAGTGTGTTCAGGACCCTCAATATCCTCAGAGATCTGGGCTCTTGCCCATCATACCTGCACGGAAACAGATTGAATCGGAATGCTTTTACTGCTGTTTCTGGATCATTTGGGATGCTGGGCAAAGCTTTTCCTGATGAAGTAGCTGTCGAAGGTGGAGGTCTGGTCCTTATTGCCTACATCCAGCCCACTGCTCTCCTGCAAGCCTGGCAGGGAAGGGGCAGCAGGAGCAAACCTGGCTGCGGGGATGGGTACATCACAGCACCACACAGACAGCACACGAGCGATTTGTTTTAAGGGAACCACTCTCAAGTGTGCTGGCCACCTGAGACTAGTAAAACAAAAATCCAGAATGAAAGATAATAACGCAGGATTTCTTTAAAAAAGGTCATATTGGGGAAAAGTGCAGTAAAGAGAGCAGTTTTTGCATTAGTGTCCTGCACAGACGGGAAGAGCAGCTCAGCTGCAAGATGCAGCTCCATACTGACGGCCCCTGGGGAGATGCTTTTCTACATCCTGGTTGTGCACCCTCTTCACTGCTCACTTTGGGGCTATGCTGAAGCAGTTTGGGCAGCCAGCCTATCATTAACATGCATATCTAGGAGTGATGTCTCATCAAAACTGTCTAGGACATATTTTAGCACATCAGAGCTTAGAACTGAAGATGCTTACACAGAAATACACAGATGGGTATCGGTGCAAGATGGAAACACTTCAAAATATGTGTGCTACTTGCAGCAAACTTTGTCTCACTGATCCTTTCCTCCTTGGAAAAGCTTGTGAAAGTCCTTGGGGGGACTCCAGGTCGTTCTGAGCTTGTGGGAGGAGAAAGGATGCGATTAACGCCCATCTCTTGTAAGGAACGAGCTGTCCTGTTTCTGCAAATCTTTGCCCCAGAAACACAAGCACGACCGACCACAGGTGGAATTGCAGCACTGCTCTGCAGTTCCTGCTTTATTTTCTGGCTCTCGCAGCGAGCCAGCCTGATTACCCTCATTTAAAACGCGATTGTTCCCAGAACCGCTGCGCGCAAATCCCTCGCTGGAGGGGGATGCAAAGCAGAACAGGTGGGAGAGCACCCCCCTGCCCACGCCTGCCATCACGCTGCCAGCAACCGAGCCGTGCCCGCAAAAACTGGGGGGAGCCAGAGGGTGGCTGAGCTGTAAATAGAGGGAAACAAATCCTGCAGGGAACACGTCCAACAGCCGCCAGCTCCCAGGGGCTGGAGCGCAGCCCAAGAGGGTGGCAGGTCCTGCGCTCGCTCCAAGCACGCACACACTCGCACAGCCCCGAGCAGGTTTAATTTGCTGCAACTGTTTCAACAAACCCCGAGCCCTGGTAATGCTGTTACACGCTGAAATTGCTCAGTGTAAAACAACACCGAGTGGAAAACACTGCGGGCGTGGAGGAGCCCCCTCCGTTTCTTCAGCACCCAGTCTGCTCCTGGCACCTGGACTTTGTAAGGAGAAGTTTAAAAAGCCTCCAAAAAACACCAAAACACCCCAGAGAGCTTACAAAATGTGTTTTGCCAAAGCAGTCTGATTTAGTCTGGGGGTTAGAGGAGATGCAAAAACTCCTCAAGTCCTGGTGTGTGCCTGAAGGACTGAGCTCAGCGCAGAGCTGATGCTGAACATGTTTTTAATTCAAAGTCTGTGTAAGAACACCAGGCACTTCTTGTCATGGCCGTCCCGTTTGACAGCAGGGTCTGAGTGTCCTGCTCAAGGTTCCTGCCAGAGCCCTGAAATTGCCCAGCTTGCCTCATGCCTTCTGCCTTGCTCCGACTAGAGAAGATGCCCTGCAGTTTCACGAGGGTACGAGGGATCCTAACGCTGGTGGTGTGATGCTTTGCTAAGCCATGAGGGTGATTCATCCCTGGCTGGACCAGTGCTAGCTCCAAACACGAGTGTAGGAAATTCCTGCAGGGGCTGAAACTCCCTGGAGGAAACCAACACAAATCCAGAGGCTCAGCCTCCTGACAGCCACCAAAGCAATTCACTTCCCTGCTTCAACAGCAGCCCCCGAGCAAAACCCCGATGCCACATCACAAAGCCACCAAGGCTCAGCTGCAGCCCAGCTGAGTTTCGCCTTTAGCTACAATAACATGACTGTGTTTTGGCTGGACAGGCTGCGATTCCCCCGTCTGCGTGGGCTTAAGGCTTAATTTCCATCCCCCAAGGCGATGGCTGTGCACCCAGCTCCTGAGGAGGTGCCAGCCCAGAGCTCTGCACCATGCCCAAGGCTACACTGCTCACACACTTGTTCCCTGCTTCCTGGAGACCCCAGAGAGCTCAGACCTGCTGCTTCAGCCAGTTAATCCGTGCTGCTCCTTATGCCAGTTAATCCACTCTGCTCCCTATGCCAGGCCTCCTGCAGAGGCACGGGGAGATGCGGGGGGACCTGCAGCACGGGGCTCTGCTGCAACCACTCACCCCTCCTCACTCCTGGCCCTGGCATCAGCGTCCAGGGCTCACGGGTGAGAAAAACAGAGAAAAAAGGGCTTTCTTACACCAGCCTCACTGCTGGGGCTAAAAGGGCTCATTGCACCAGGGCTTCCTGACGGGGGAAGGGAGCAGCCCCCGCACCATCCCCATCCCGTCCTCTCCCCGCGTCACATCCTCGCCAGGGCTGATTCAGCCGCACACAGGCCACATGGTGAATCACACAGGGAAATGCTGCGGGCTAAAAATAACCCCTGGCTGTTTTTGTCCTGCCGAGATATTTTTAAGCTGCTGGCTTTGCCAACCCGGGACCCGACACCAGTGAAGCGAGCACTGTAAGGGCGAGGGCTGCTGAGCGCCGAGCGAGGAGCTCCGGCTCCAGCTGCCGTACCCCAGCCTGTGGGGTCAGCTGCCTGAACCCAGCACAGCCACCCGTGCACACCAGCTTGTCACAGCCAGCACGGGATAAACCCACAGCACCAGCAGAGCCGGGTAAGCAGCCCTTTGAAGCCCCAGAAGAAACACCTATGCCGGTGGTTTCGGCACTTCGCCTCTCTTTCAGCTGGCAGAGCCACTGCCTCAATCGGGAGCAGCTTCAGCCAAGAAAAATAAGCACTACCTTCCATTCCCAGGCTTGTTTATCATTGTCACGATGCTCTGCTCTAACCAGGAGGCTGCATTATGCATCATGCTGCCTACTTGCAAATAATAAGCTACATGTGTAAATAGGCTCCACTATTTTGAGTTGAATAGCTAACAAATGAGCAAACAAAAACTCCGCAGCCCTCCACGCTCCTGTTTAACTGACGCAACGGATGCCTTTATGCATCCCGAAGGTGACACATCCATCACGCTGAGCCCCAGCGGCTTCTGCATCACTGCCAAAACCCCAAAGCGCGGGGGCTGGCGGCAGGCGGCGAGCACGGGGCTGTGGTCAGGCTGACACAAGCCCTCGTCTGTGGGCTCAGACCTAAAACTGATGTGGTATTTGCTCCTGCTACATCATCGCCATCGCAGTCACCGTGCAGGCTCTGTGGGGATGGTTTCAGCCACACGAGGTGCATGGCCTCGCACTGGGCAGGAGACGTAGGGCACAACGAGGGTGTTTGGTCTGAGCAGGGGTCCCGTGGGCACCCGGCTCTGGATTCGACCACTGCAGCACCCCTGTAATGAGCCCGTATGGATTTGTGAGGGCTCTCATGCTGCACTGCTCTCCTAAGTCTATTGAAGCCTCTGCAAATGGTGTTTCCCTCATCGCAGCTCTGCCTTCTTTTGTATTCTTTAATTTTCTGCCATAGTCTGTATTATTATCTATTGTAAGAAGAGTTATTTAAGAACCTTTGGACTATAATGGGCTTGGCATTACAGGAAAATAAAGCAGCTCTCCAGGAAACTTGTGCTGATTTCAGCCTTCCCATTTACGCCGTGATGCATCACACTGTGCTCTAATGTCTCACTAATCTGCAGCTCAATCTGCTGTTAAACGGGCTGGTGATGCAGAAGCCACTCACTGAGGTTGCTTGATATTCAGCTGCTGATTGAATCATTTGCTTCTTGCGATTTGCAGATGCGCCAAAGAGCCAGAAGCCCTTTTTCTTCCCGAAAAGTTAATTGGATCAGAGCTCCTCGCTGGCAGCTGGCACCCAGGTGAACTCCAGCCCTGCAGAGGGGCTGCCTGGCAGGACCAGGGTGACCAGGGGACAGAGCCTGGAGACAGAGCCCAGGAGCTGCCTCCTGCAGGGAGGGAACTCGGCAACGTCTCAGGAACTTCAAGAAGGCCCCGTGGTGATGCCAGCCTCACTGCTCCATCATGGCAGAGCCCATCCCACGGCATCACGCAGTGGTTTTGCTCCCATTAGACATTCCCCAGGATGAATTTCCCCCTCCATGCTTCCAGCTTTGTCATTTGTGAGAGCTGATTACTGCCAGCAGTCCCTTTCAGCACGGTCCACCCAGCTACTCACAGGTACAGCTCCCTCCTCGCCTGCAAACTGAGACGGCTTCAGCAGCACTCGGGTTTTGTTATTTTTTCCAGACTTCAGCATGCGACACGCCGCTTGCCATCTTCCTCAATAATTAAGCAGTCGGTGCCATTGTCAAAGAAGCACTTCACTACACTTGTACCAGGTTTCCGACCAACTGCGGTCCCAAGCGAGGCGGCGTTAGGCACCGGGACTGCAGCTCGGCGATTACGGGGCTGTAAATAACGCCTTGGAATATACGGTTTGTTGTGGTGATAACACACATTTGGTGGGTTACATAAATTGGAGCAATCCTGCTGACAGAGGAAAAATAGTGGTGTGTAATGGTTTCCTCCAGTTGCTAGGAAATAGAGTTAGTGCTGGGCTCCTCGCACGCCTCGGTGCACGCTGGTGACAGATGATGGATGCGGCACATGTGCGGCGCCCGGGCTGTTAGCGAGCCCTGACCGAGGGGAAGGCAGCCACGCAGTGACAGCAGGAGCCATTTAACAACAATATATGCATTTTTCATTACGAGAATTACATTTGTTTGCCCAAGGCGTTTAGGAAAATGTAAGCAAAGAATAAAGTTCGATGGAAAGGGACAGGTGGTCCGTGCCGGCAGACCCAGGAGCGCTACGCAGATGCTCCAGGTCTGTGCTAGGGGTCTTCACACCTGCCCAAAGCCCTAATGCGGATGGGATGGGATGTTTTAAAAATGGCCTTTTACAGCACTGCAAAGCTCGTGTCCCCAAAGGGCCAGATCCAGGCTCTGTCCCAGGTGGAGGCAGTGGGGCAGCCCGTTCCCCTCTCCTTGTCTCCCTGGGGCTTGTCTTGTGCTGCAGCAGGAGCTGGGGCTGGATCCTGCTTTTGTGGGCATCTGCTAAAGCCATTGCAGTAGGTGGCATTGGTCCCGTGCTCCACTTGGCTGGAAATGGCACAGGCATGGCCCCAGCAGAGCCTGACTTTCTTTTCGGAGTGACAAACTTCCCCTAAAGAAGTTTCAAACTTCTCCTGCAGCCCCGGGTGCCATGGGACACCCGTGCGTCCACGTGCAAACTGTTCTCTCCCAATAACCCCGGGCTGCTTCATCACGTCCTCACGAACCCACCGCCTGGGCTCAACGTCAGCGCAATTCCTGAGCAGAGCGAGGTCGCCTCCTTTCCCACAGAGAGGAGGGAAGGGCCCGGCTCCAGCCCCACATGGAGACGGGAGGACAACGCAGCTCTGCGTTTCTGGCCCGCGCTCATCCCCAATCACAACCATATGGGAACGGGAACGTGCCTCCATAGCCGGGGGCTCGAGGCAAGCAGTCGCTTTCGATTGAGGAGAGATGCATCGTTTCCCCAGGACGCACTATTAAAGAAGAAAAGCCTTGCCAATGTTATGCTTTATAATGCAATAATTTCCCTAACAGCCCAACATGGTTCATCAGCATGTGATCTGGCATGTGATCAGCTTTCCTTTCAGCCATCCGGACGGGCTGCAAGAGGTGAGGGAGAAAACAGACACAGGATCTGGTTTGGTTTTCAACAAATTCTTGCACCCTGCCTTGGCGCGTTTCCGTCCCCATGGGTTCACACCTGTGGTGTGCTGCTCCGAAACCTGGCCACGGCCCCCACTTTGGGCCAAAACTGTGCAATATCAGCTCACCTCAGCTCTGCCTGCAGTGCCACGGGGTGGGGGCACCGCTGCAACAAGCCAGGGAGCCCCGGAGTGACTGTGTTTGGTTCATTATCAGCAAGAAGCCTGTCCCCAGGCACAGCCATCCTAGCAACCATTTCAGCAACGCCAGTTAAATAACTGCCTAGCATCACCTGAAAATTCAGGTTAGCAGCCTCAAGTAACTTCATCATCATTTTAGGGGGGGGAGAAAAAAAAAACACCCCAAAGCCAGCATCCTTACACACAGTATGGAAAATGGGCAATGGTGGTGCCTCCAACCGTGCTGCCAAAGCTTGGACCAAAGCTTGCTGCCCCCAGTTTGCTGCAGAGCCCACACCATAAATGAAATTGGTGATCTGCTGCAGTCCTTACGCACACCCACACCCCGTCATTAGCACCAGATGATGCCTTGGGAGGCAAAAGAGGAAATTTGCCATGGGGTTTCCTACAAGGAGGTACAGGTTTTGTGGGGGAAACATCAGCAGGAGCACAGCCCCCGTGTGCCTGCACACGAGCTGAGCGTTTCAGGTGGTGCCGTTTGGCACGCGGTCCCACAAAGGCTCGAGCAAGTGGGAGACAACGTTCCCCGAGGGAACGAGGAGCTTCAGCTTTTGTAGCACAGCAAGCATGCAAACACGGTATCTTGAGGGAATAAGAAAGATAAGTTATGTCATTTCATCACTGTTCTTGGAACGGAGACAAAAAAGCAAAAGAAAACAAAACAGAGCACCCCCTGGGATCCATAAAGAGGAAACTAAAAATATGATAAAGAGGCTGGATCAGTATTTTCTGAAGATGACATGTTGCAGCCCGTGTTATATATCTGGATTCCTATTGTCACTAAGGATAGAAATTTTGGCATTGAAGTAAGTAAAGGAGAAAACTGAAATTTCTGCCACACCACAAACCAATAAGCACTGGTAGGGAGCCATCTACTAAAAAACCCAGCCAGAAATCCCAGCCCTGCAGGACAGGAGGAAGGAGGAGAGCACAGGAGCACCAGCTTTCTTTGCCAGTGGGAGACAAAGGGTTAAGCAAAGGTCCAATTTCTTGTGTTAACTTAAAGCTTGAGAAAAGCTGAGAATTAAAAGATCAAAAAACCACTGCAAAGTGTGTAAAGGTACTCATAAATCCAAGGGAAATAATACGTGCTAATAAATGCTCAGGGGATTGCTCAAAATGCTGTCTGTGTTTATAATCAAGCAGGTACCACGCTGCAGCCTAGGACACCGCGGTCTGCGTTGGGATTTACCCACAGAAACGACTCCCTGAGGAATCTATGTACAAAGCAGAGGAGCAAAAAGACAAGCAATATTAAAAATAAATTCAGAGAAGCCAGAAAGCCAGGAATCTGATGCAGTTTTAGAGGCATGGCAACATAACAAGAGCAGCAGCACACAGGGACAGGAAAACCCTCTGCTTTTAGAGTTGCTTGGCACCAGGCATGAAATCTTCAGTTTGAGATATAGGGGAGGAACCTATATATTAACACATCGTGACAAGATCCAACTACCCTGCTGGCTTTCCCAGAAAATAGGGGTCACGCAGCCAGCCTGCCTGCCTTCCGAGCTGGGGGATTTTTCCTTATTTTCTTCCTGACTCTGCTAAATTAGCAAAGCCTTCCTTGGTTAACTCTCGAAGCCCCAAAATGAAGGCTATGAGTTTGTGGTGGTTTTTGGTCCCTGAGGCTTCGGATACGTCTCCGGCTCCGTCCCATCCCTGCTGCAGGGGAAAGGATGGATGGGTGCATCCAGACAGATCCTGCCCCGGAGCCAGTGGCACAGCTTTCCCGTGGCTTTCCAGTGATGTTGCTGAAGAGCCAGCAACATAACCTCTTAAAATCTTAGTTTTTAATATCACTGGATGGTAAAACACAGTCAGAGCTGGCAGTTTTGATCATTTATGGCAAAACACTACATTGAGCAGAGGGTTAAAAGCACACAGGTCTGGTGCTGAGCACTAAGGTTTGTGCTGTGTCACCCAAATGCCTGTTCAGGCTGGTTTGTTGGTTTATTTTCTCCTAGCTTAAACAACTCCAGACAAGTGATCCCCTACCCAAAGGAAGCCACCACAAATAGCTTGGTTTGCAGCTAGGAGGTGGCTGTGCACCATGACGGACACGTGGCTGCAGGCTGCTCCTGACTGCAACAGATCCACTCCGACAGGGCAGGACTCACACAGTGCCTGTGAGCACCAGGCAGAGAACTGATCCGAGATAACCAGGGACAACCAGCCGTGACACAAGGGCTTCCATGTGCCCCAAGTCCAGCATCGGACCCCTTGATTTTGTGACTATATACAGATGGATGCACCCATGGGTCTGAGAGAGCTGAGAGGTACCCAGGCAGCAAACTCATCTGCACATCCAAATGAGAGGGAATAAATCCATACAATCACCTTTTTCTGCTCATTTTGGTGTGTTTGAAAACCTGCTTTGCTCCTTCAGAAACACTTAGACCCACTTCATAAGCAACGTGCATGACCCATTACACACAAAAGGCATTTCTCTGATTTTGACGAGCTCTGCGGGGATACCTCACGTGGGAGATGGGAGGCACGGGGCACGTTCCCCAGTGGGACTTTACAGGCAGTCCTGCACCCGAGGGCCTTCCTCTCACCCCAAGAAAGCAGCTCGGTGCTGTGTGTGCCCCTCAGCAGGCTGAGCACAGCCACAGCCCTGTCCGACATGCACCGTGCGCTGGAGTTTCGCTCCCATGTATTACAGCAAATCTCCCCAGCAGAGCGAGTTACCAAGCGCCTCACAACTGCACCTTTGTCTCCCGGAGAAGCCGAGGGCTATAAAATACAGGATAACCCCTGCTGCGAAGGTTTCCAGCACAGTTTGGTGGAAAAGAGCGAGGGAAAAGAAAACAATGAAGAAAAGGAGACGATAAACTTCTTAAAGTAGCTCCTGCTGTCAGCCCTCTCCTCCCGTGCGTGAACCAGCCCTCCCTCCTTCACCTCTTAATTCCGGGCTTTAGGAAGGCTTGGTACTACTCAGGCCTCTTAGCAGGCTCTGAAGAGTCAAATTTAATCCGGTAAGCCTGAAATTGAAAAAAATCCAACCCAACTTGGGTCTTTGCACTGAATTTAATACCTGGATAAATCCCTATGGGACACCAAGCAAAAAAAAAAAGCAAAGCTTGCTGTGTATGAAGTTATCTAATATAAGCCATTCCCCCTTATCCCTTCATTTCACAGCAAAAACACAGACACTATTCACTCTGCAGAGCTTTTCGGATGAAGTAAATACTGCTACATCCAGCCTTCATTGAAAAAACATGGACCTTCCATTTTCACAGGGCTTCGCTTCCAACGCCACGGCCCCATCCTGCCTTGGAAGTAATTTCTTTCCTTAATTACACCTATAAAATAAAGACTCGCTCCTTACATAATTAAAAAGGGTACAGTTGATAGATATCTATTTTTGGCTGATGATATCATGATATCACTGTGTTTATGTAGGAAAATTTCCAGAGGGTTCAAAAAAAAAAAAAAAAAAAAAAAGAAAGAAAGAAATAGCCCCCCCTAAATTATTCCCAGACTTCTCCAGTCTGAATGTATTTATTTGCAATAATGATTGCGGCTTTATGCGAGCAGATGGGCAGTCCCTGAGAGGATGATTTGTTTCCCCTCTTTTCTTACTTCATGATGTATTTTATGATTT